CCTTCTTTAAAAAATTAAATATCTTTAAACATATTCAGATGTTTCTCATTTGAAAAATTATTATTCTTGTTTATTTGAGGTTAAACTATGATATACATGGAAGGGGCGGAATTCTTCAAACCCATCTGAAAAATTGATATTTTACAAAAAAATCCTTTAAAAAACACTCCATATGGATCGTTTATTAAAATTACAATCTGATTAAAAGTTGATCAATGAATAATTTTGTTATAACCTGACTTAACTAAGGTTGCTATCTTAGAAACTAAAGTTCTAATAATTAGTACACCTTAGAGTCTGATAACTTAATTACATTAAACGTGCAACCGCACAATGCTTTGCATTGTTATTAACACAATCACTTGGCTCACTCAAAAGGTTCTACCATTTTAAGTCTTCTTATCAGGTTGGTAATATGAAGAAGCTGGATCGCTTCCACATTCACATGTTGGTGAAACTGTTGTTCATAACTCCTACCGAATCTGGTGATAGTTTGGTCAACAGTGCACATGTGAAGATCTCGAAAGGCAGGTCATTGTTTCTAATGTACCAAGGAGCTTCGACAAAGTTCCTCAATACTTTGTTCTGGAATCTCTAGATTATTAGAATATTACTGTCGCTAGAGTTAGAGCTAGTGCTGAATGTCATAGGTCTAAATTAGTTTGAGAACTTGTTTATGTAAAATAATTTGTTTATAATGTAGATAGGCTGAAATGCCTACCATGTAACCAGTACATTTTCTTGATTTTTCTTTCCAACCTTGCCTTTTCTTTTTAATATGAACCTTCCAGCGAAGTCTTGCATTTAATGTAATACCTAGATATTTTGCTGAGTTAGCACAAGGGATTTGGACATTATTCATGTTAATTGGTATTTGTTTGCCATTTTATGAAAATTAATATTAACTGATGTTTGTAGTTTATTTACACAATATCGTTTTTACCGTTTGAATCAGGCCAACCGCAACGAAGGTATTGACTTAAGTCCTTTTGGCATTGCCACTGCGCACGTTTTTCTCTTCTCCGTTAATCTATGGCACGTCCCCCTCACAACGCCTTTTTACCATTTGAATCGGACCAACAGCAACGAAGATATTGACTAAGGTTCTTTTGGCTTCGCCACTGCGCACGATTTTTATGTAACTTGTTGAACTAAAAGTTGTTTGCGATATCGATCTCTATAATTTTTGTTTATACATGATTTTTCTAAAATGGACCTTATGGAAAAATTATAGGAAAAGTGCTAAATTTAAATTTTTCAATATTTTCGTTTTCAATGAATATTTATTGAAAAATTTTTGATGAAGATGTATGTGGAAAATGTATATATTTAGTTTATCCTCTAAACATTTATAGAGGTGTTGCAATAGGTTGTACAAAATAACCGGAAAAAGCCTATAATAACTAGATAGGAAAGTCATGTGTTGGACACATCAGATTTTTTTCTACGACCCACTAACGAAAATTTACAAATAAAAAAAAATTTAGGTTACTAAGACAAAATAACTAATTTTAAATAATTTATTACTTTTAATAATTTTTAAAATAAAATAAACGAAAAGAAAAAAGTTCATTTCATTTTTACCCCATTCGAGAATGTGTGGAGTGGAAGGCTAGAACACTGACCACAGGACCACCTACTCTTTTATTTTTGTTGCTTTAATACTCGTTATTAAATTGACTTTATATAGTTTTATTTAAATTAACAAATTATTTATAATTATAGACGAAATAAAAACCAAAATCGATTCTACACAAGAATAACCCATTTTAATTTATGTTTAATCTCAATAACTAAAAAATATACTGACAATTAGTTTAATAGAATTGTCACTTATTTAAAATTTTAAAAATAATAGCAGTCGTTTGATCAAAATATGAACGTTGATTGGTGGATTTCATTTTGTTGCAGTGTTCTCACTACCTAGAATAGATATGAAATATATTCGTTTATTTGAAGGCAGTAGCATACATTTTCGTTTTATAATCTGTGCGTAGATAAGCTAATATCTATGTGGGTGTAGAAAAAATAAATTCTATGATTTTAAATAATATAAACTGTAAAAGGCACAAAACTAACACATTAAAATGAGTGGATTACAATTAATTGAGTTCGTCTTTGCAACAAGAAATTGTCGAAGTAGTAGTTGAGATGGTCAAAACAATTCAAAATCAATGCGGAATTAACCATAATTATTGCTTTTCAATGTTGTGTACTTTCCCTATTTAAATCGTATTGGTTAGAGTGACGGAGAGAAGAGGAATGATGTATGACAATTGAGATTATGATTCAAGGATGTCCCCTGCAAACTAAAATCGTTTCCTAACATCCAAGGATATTATTACCCAAAACCCCAATGTCAATATTCGTTCGTCATCCTTGTAAATGTTTAAATCACGTATAAGTTGTATTTAAACAACTTTTTTAAATTTTTACATATAAGTGATATTTTTTGTAATCGCAGCAAGTGTCAAAATGATCTACTTGACCCAAGTTGAAAAAAGAAAACAAATACAAACAAATATAATATACATTATTATTAAAAGTTTATATCAAAGGAGCAGGTTGACTTATAAAAATAGAATTTGGTTAAACTTACAACCTAGTAATAATGTTGTTTTGGTTCTTATTTTCCATTCTAAATCAGCAAAAAATAATTAAAACACAATACACTACAAAATAATGCACTTTTTTGAATACTAAATTACTTTAATAAACAATGTAAATATTCTGCAAGTCGTATAGAATAAATAATCAATACGATGATTTTCTATTTGTCAATAAAATGATGCATATGTAACTAGAAATACAGAAAAGTAATATTGGTTGCATAGAAGTCAGTAAATTACAAAAAATATTGTATGTAACACGTTACGAAATGTCGTTTTATGTAACTTGCGGTTTTGGTTTGTTAATGACGTTGTGTTTTATGTCTATTATTCTTGCCAGTTCATTCTTACATTCTTATTATTGTTAGCTCGCTGCTATGATATTTTGTTTTGGACTTTTGGTCTTTAAACATGATCCAAATTTCTTAGACAAGTCCTGAGCTTGGATAAAGCGTAAAGGGTGCTACGACGAGTTTCAGTAAGCAATAAAACATTTTTTTACTTTAATTCTGTAGAAGCGACATCTACTAGGTATACTTTTTTGTAAAAAAGATGCAAAGGAATAAGAACTGTTAAATAGAAATTTTATTTACCGGGGCACAAACAAGTTGTGAAGATTGAGATGAAGGGGAAGTGCTGCTGTTGCTGTCCTCTCTAATTTACATTGAAACTGTGATCAGATCTCGAGTTCTCATCCTAAAAACCCTCAGCTATCAAATTTCGTGCAAATCGAGCTATTATATTTACAAAAAAGTAAAAAAATAACTTGAATATTTTTAAAACTTTTGGACCAGGTAAATTGGGGTAGATTATTATATTTTAACCTCAGGAATTTGTACTAATGTTTTGTACAAACAATTTATAACAACAAGAATTTTTATTTATATTTTTTATTCATTTCAGACTGTGAATATTAAAACAACTAATATTTATGGTTTTTTCTTTCTTGGAAAAATTAGGACATACATTTATAAAAAAGAGTGGCCAATTTCAAGTAGGTTTGCAATTAACATCCTTGCTCCTTGATAAAACTTTGTAAACTCAAGAGATCATGAATATTTATAGTCACATCGTCTTGGCTTTAATCATATATCTGATGAATGCATGTATCCATACTTTAAATGAAGAGGATTTTTAACAATATAAAATAAAAACTATAAACTAGATTATAAATTAAATAAAAAAGGTTTGTTGATAAGACAAAGGTGGGTTTGGGGAAACATTCTCAAAGAGAAAGAAGAGCTTTCTGATGATCCTAGATTTTTTTGACAAATTAGTAAGGAAACAAAAAGTCCGAAACTTACCAGGGTATTTCAAAGATAGTTATTTTGGTACTTTAACACTCTGAAACAAACTCCTTCAAGTCCTTAATTATAATACATTATTTTTGTTTATGGAGCGTTAAAGGCATGTTTATTTAGTTTCTTTTTAAATCCAGGATATGAAAATTTGACATAATTCATTGTGGTAAGAAATAGATTAGTAATGGATGCCGGTTAACATAAGCAAAAATTAACATAAAAAATAAAAAAAAACAGGATTTTCCTACAAAGTTATCAAACATATTGAGTACATCCCATCTAATAAAAATGAATTTAAAATATGAATTTCATATCTTCATTGCAAATCCAAATTTGACGCTTTTCTTCAAATTTCTCTATTACGATCCAGTTTTGAGAAATCATGTTTAGAATAAAAATTATAGATAATGACATCACAAACAACTTTAATTAAAGTAATTTTTTCTATAATCATAACTAACAATAATAAATATTAAAAATTACTTTCTATAAAGTACCCCAGATGCTCCGACTGTGCTCAAAATCTAATCAGCTTACTACATGTTGAATTGAAGCTTAAATTGAGTTATTGTGGACTCACACACAGGCACAGAGAGACACAACTAGATATACATAATAGCAAAAATACTTCAAACAAATTCAGAAGACCCAAAATAGTAAGGATCCGTCGAAAACTTGAAGTCTAAAAAATCATAATTCCTACACTTTCCGTACCGGATGCAGCAAAGTAAAAATAGTACCTATTTAAAAATCAATTATTATTCATTGACCCAATTTCAAACGTTAAACTTCACCACACATCCATTCTATATCTATTAAGCATTCCATCGCTCTAAAAAACGCAATTATTAATATTTAATAGTGCGAATGTCACTGTTGAAAATCGAAGCTAAACAACATGCAAATTCAGTTGCAGCACATGTGACGAAATTTACATGGGAATAATTCCGAGAGAATTTCTTAATTAAATTGTAACTTGAGATTATATTATTAAGGTCACAAGAATTAAGTGAAATAGATAAGGAATCATTTTAAAATTAGAACAATAAATAAACCATTCAAGTCAAGAATCTAAAAATACAATTGACAATTAATATCTAATATCTCTAATATCTCTAATATTTCTAATATCTCTATCTCTAATATTTCTAATATCTCTAATATCTCTAATATCTCTAATATCTCTAATATCTCTAATATCTCTAATATCTCTAATATCTCTAATATCTCTAATATCTCTAATATCTCTAATATCTCTAATATCTCTAATATCTCTAATATCTCTAATATCTCTAATATCTCTAATATCTCTAATATCTCTAATATCTCTAATATCTCTAATATCTCTAATATCTCTAATATCTCTAATATCTCTAATATCTCTAATATCTCTAATATCTCTAATATCTCTAATATCTCTAATATCTCTAATATCTCTAATATCTCTAATATCTCTAATATCTCTAATATCTCTAATATCTCTAATATCTCTAATATCTCTAATATCTCTAATATCTCTAATATCTCTAATATCTCTAATATCTCTAATATCTCTAATATCTCTAATATCTCTAATATCTCTAATATCTCTAATATCTCTAATATCTCTAATATCTCTAATATCTCTAATATCTCTAATATCTCTAATATCTCTAATATCTCTAATATCTCTAATATCTCTAATATCTCTAATATCTCTAATATCTCTAATATCTCTAATATCTCTAATATCTCTAATATCTCTAATATCTCTAATATCTCTAATATCTCTAATATCTCTAATATCTCTAATATCTCTAATATCTCTAATATCTCTAATATCTCTAATATCTCTAATATCTCTAATATCTCTAATATCTCTAATATCTCTAATATCTCTAATATCTCTAATATCTCTAATATCTCTAATATCTCTAATATCTCTAATATCTCTAATATCTCTAATATCTCTAATATCTCTAATATCTCTAATATCTCTAATATCTCTAATATCTCTAATATCTCTAATATCTCTAATATCTCTAATATCTCTAATATCTCTAATATCTCTAATATCTCTAATATCTCTAATATCTCTAATATCTCTAATATCTCTAATATCTCTAATATCTCTAATATCTCTAATATCTCTAATATCTCTAATATCTCTAATATCTCTAATATCTCTAATATCTCTAATATCTCTAATATCTCTAATATCTCTAATATCTCTAATATCTCTAATATCTCTAATATCTCTAATATCTCTAATATCCTCTAATATCTCTAATATCTCTAATTATCTCTAATATCTCTAATAGTCTCTAATATCTCTAATATCTCTAATATCTCTAATATCTCTAATATCTCTAATATCTCTAATCTCTAATATCTCTAATATCTCTAATATCTCTAATATCTCTAATATCTCTAATATCTCTAATATCTCTAATATCTCTAATATCTCTAATATCTCTAATATCTCTAAATCATCTCTAATATCTCTAATATCTCTAATATCTCTAATATCTCTATATCTCTAATATCTCTAATATCTCTAATATCTCTAATATCTCTATCTAATATCTCTAATATCTCTAATATCTCTAATATCTCTAATATCTCTAATATCTCTAATATCTCTAATATCTCTAATATCTCTAATATCTCTAATATCTCTAATATCTCTAATATCTCTAATATCTCTAATATCTCTAATATCTCTAATATCTCTAATATCTCTAATATCTCTAATATCTCTAATATCTCTAATATCTAATATCTAATATCTCTAATATCTCTAATATCTCTAATATCTCTAATATCTCTAATATCTCTAATATCTCTAATATCTCTAATATCTCTAATATCTCTAATATCTCTAATATCTCTAATATCTCTAATATCTCTAATATCTCTAATATCTCTAATATCTCTAATATCTCTAATATCTAATCTCTAATATCTCTAATATCTCTAATATCTCTAATATCTCTAATATCTCTAATATCTCTAATATCTCTAATAATCTCTAATATCTCTAATATCTCTAATATCTCTAATATCTCTAATATCTCTAATATCTCTAATAATCTCTAATATCTCTAATATCTCTAATATCTCTAATATCTCTAATATCTCTAATATCTCTAATATCTCTAATATCTCTAATATCTCTAATATCTCTAATATCTCTAATATCTCTAATATCTCTAATATCTCTAATATCTCTAATATCTCTAATATCTCTAATATCTCTAATATCTCTAATATCTCTAATATCTCTAATATCTCTAATATCTCTAATATCTCTAATATCTCTAATATCTCTAATATCTCTAATATCTCTAATATCTCTAATATCTCTAATCTATCTCTAATATCTCTAATATATCTCTAATATCTCTAATATCTCTAATATCTCTAATATCTCTAATATCTCTAATATCTCTAATATCTCTAATATCTCTAATATCTCTAATATCTCTAATATCTAATATCTCTAATATCTCTAATATCTCTAATATCTCTAATATCTCTAATATCTCTAATATCTCTAATATCTCTAATATCTCTAATATCTCTAATATCTCTAATATCTCTAATATCTCTAATATCTCTCTAATATCTCTAATATCTCTAATATCTCTAATATCTCTAATATCTCTAATATCTCTAATATCTCTAATATCTCTAATATCTCTAATATCTCTAATATCTCTAATATCTCTAATATCTCTAATATCTCTAATATCTCTAATATCTCTAATATCCTCTAATATCTCTAATATCTCTAATATCTCTAATATCTCTAATATCTCTAATATCTCTAATATCTCTAATATCTCTAATATCTCTAATATCTCTAATATCTCTAATATCTCTAATATCTCTAATAATCTCCTAATATCTCTAATATCTCTAATATCTCTAATATCTCTAATATCTCTAATAATCTCTAATATCTCTAATATCTCTAATATCTCTAATATCTCTAATATCTCTAATATCTCTAATATCTCTAATATCTCTAATATCTCTAATATCTCTAATATCTCTAATATCTCTAATATCTCTAATATCTCTAATATCTCTAATATCTCTAATATCTCTAATATCTCTAATATCTCTAATATCTCTAATATCTTCTAATATCTCTAATATCTCTAATATCTCTAATACTCTCAATATCTCTAATATCTCTAATATCTCTATCTAATATCTCTAATATCTCTCTAATATCTCTAATATCTCTAATATCTCTAATATCTCTAATATCTCTAATATCTCTAAATATCTCTAATATCTCTAATATCTCTAATATCTCTAATATCTCTAATATCTCTAATATCTCTAATATCTCTAATATCTCTAATATCTCTAATATCTCTAATATCTCTAATATCTCTAATATCTTCTAATATCTCTAATATCTCTAATATCTCTAATATCTCTAATATCTCTAATATCTTAATATCTAATATCTCTATATCTCTAATATCTCTAATATCAATCTCTAATATCTCTAATATCTCTAATATCTCTAATATCTCTAATATCTCTAATATCTCTAATATCTCTAATATCTCTAATATCTCTAATATCTCTAATATCTCTAATATCTCTAATATCTCTAATACTCTAATATCTAATATCTCTAATATCTCTAATATCTCTAATATCTCTAATATCTCTAATATCTCTAATATCTCTAATATCTCTAATATCTTCTAATATCTCTAATATCTCTAATATCTCTAATATCTCTAATATCTCTAATATCTCTAATATCTCTAATATCTCTAATATCTCTAAATATCTCTAATATCTCTAATATCATCTAATATCTCTAATATCTCTAATATCTCTAATATCTCTAATATCTCTAATATCTCTAACTATATCTCTAATATCTCTAATATCTCTAATATCTCTAATATCTCTAATATCTCTAATATCTCTAATATCTCTAATATCTCTAATATCTCTAATATCTCTAATATCTCTAATATCTCTAATATCTCTAATATCTCTAATATCTCTAATATCTCTAATATCTCTAATATCTCTAATATCTCTAATATCTCTAATATCTAAATATCTCTAATATCTCTAATATCTCTAATATCTCTAATATCTCTAATATTCTCTAATATCTCTATATCCAATAACTTTAATTTTCCATGTACCTATATCTACCATCTACTATCTACCATCTATATTTTACAAAATTTAATACTTATGTATTCGCAAGTGATGCAGAACCAATTATCAATAAATATTTTTTTTTTGAAATTTAAGATAAAACAGTCCCATTTGTTATAAAACTTTTTGCTTCAATCTGTATAGAAAGAAAAAAGAAAATCATTAACTACAACTACTGCTGCTTTAAGACTCGCCCAAGCTTGTTTTTCATGAGCATAAGGAATTCTGTGAAATCATCACTCTTTCATCACTGCTCATTATTTGTGGTCCGACGTTTACACTGTCTTGATGCCATTTTCTTGCTTAAGTAACACACAAGGACGGTTGTTACAACTATGATAAACAAATAAATACTCAATACTCTCACTACTGTACCCTTTACAAAGGTTGATCAAAGTGCTACTATCTGTTGCTCATAAAATAAATTAAAATCTTTAAAACTTACTTATCGACGCAAATCAAACAAAAGCAAACTTTAAAAGCTAAAAATGGAAATTTAGTTTTTTTTTTTGATATTTAGAATCAGAATTCAAGCATTAGAACAGAAACCCAAAGAAAAATAATTTTTTGTCGACTTGTGTAATATATTAATCTATTTCTAATATAACAAGTTGATTTAATTTGTTCAATAATACTGAATATTTGGTTAAAATTTTCGTTCCAAATCACCCTGCATAAAAATTGTTTCATGAGAAACAGATTCCGTTGTCAATTTTGACGTAAACCGCATTTTGACAATTTACAGCTATTATGTCAACTTGAAACGTATTTGGATGAAACCTTACCTATTATTACTTCCAGTATTATTTTTTACCGTTTCCTGTAAGCCACCAAAAATCATTCAAGTCCTTACAATCCAAAGTAATCATTTTTAATTTATTAGGTGCCCCTTTTTGCGGCCCAGCCGGAGATCATGGTAGTAACAGCGACAAAGGCCATGGACAGCAAGCTTCGAACATAGCCCAAAAAGCCGCTCAAGAAGCCAAAGCTGCCGAGGATGCTCAACAACAAGCTGGCCAACAAGCTGCAGGCAAGTCAAAGAGCAACTGGCCGAAAAAGCAATGGAAGCGGCCAAAGCAGCAGAAGCTGCGCTGTCCGGTAAGGAAGCCCTAGTGGAACAGCTTCAAGAAGAAATTAAAGAAGCTGAAATGGTGGTGAACGAGGAGGGTTCCAGTATGCAACAGCTACAACAAACCGTGCAATCTGCTAACAAAGCAGCTCAACAGGCTCAAGCGGAACTTAAACTACTCCAAACTTCTTTTCAGCTAGCTCAAGGTAACGCTGCTAATGCTCAGCAGGCTTTAGATGGTATTACTGCCCAGCTTAATGAGAAAGAGCAACTTTTAGACGCTGCTAGGGCGAAGTTAGATCAACTCAGTAAGCAACAACAAAGTTCAAAAATGGATTTGGCTAAAACCAAAGAGGCGGCGAGAAAAGCTGAAACTTCTGCAGCTGAAGCGAAGCAAAATGCTGCAAGACTAGAAGGGAAGCCGGTGCAGCTGAGGATAAGGAACGAGATGAAAGAATTAGAAGAGAGGCACAGAAAAGTGATAGTAAAGATTGATGTTCTCTTTTTTTTTAATTTTGTTTTATATACTTATAAATATATTAAACGATAATTTTTTTTTCTAATTTGATGTGGATTCTACAACATTTACGAAATATAAAATATTTAGTAGTTACAAATTATATTATATTTATTAACATAATAAGATTTGATAACAGTTGTTACGCTACTGAATGAAAAACAGGTGAAAAGTTAAAACCAACACTCACGTTTTAGATAATTTTCCTACAAGTGTATAATCTCATTGTCAATTGCTAATTCCATTAGGTCTGTTTAGAAAATTCTCAGTCAGTTATTCGTTTACATTGAATTCAAAAGTGTTTGCAATAAAGGAGCATTTGTATCTTCTCAAAATCGTAAGTATTTTATGATGTGATGAAAGTTAAAGGCGAAGACTAAATGTAGAAAATTGGCAATTTCAAATTCAATTTGTAAACATTTATTGTATTGATTCTTAACCCTTTGGTACCTATAAACTGTGGAATGGTCGTCTTACCGAGCCTTACATGACGATATTAACACATTGATTGCTACGAAAAGCATCGTTGCTTCTCATGCTTTAATAAAATATCGTCGTGCGTGGTTCAACGATGCTTCTAGGTAGCGGAATAAGCTTATGGGACGATTTTGCCAGCCTAAAGAGCTATCTTATGCATTTGGCCTGTGCTTTTCTCGGACCTAAGTTTGCCCAAAAGTATTATTTCATATGTGGCTTAAAAAATTGTATATTTCTATATTATGATGGCAGTCAAGGTGTTTAAAAGAATCCACTCCTTCCTTCTTTCAAGTAAATTTCATTAACAGTTGTTTCTGTCATCGGCAGTTTCTAAGAAAATGGCAAATGGCTTTCGGTCGAATCTGCTGTATTTTATACAAGGTGAGTCAAAAAGGAATACAAATATTTGAGGAGGTAATAGAACAATAAAAACTAAGGTCAGTTTGCTTTATAAAGTAATGTCCAAAACTTTGAAATAAGGGAGATAAAGCCATTCAAAAGGATAATGGAAAAACCAGCTTTTCGGTCCCAACTTCTAACCGGAGCAAAACTATCAACTCCAAATCGAGGGGTAAACCGCTGAGGAAGTCTGGTGTACAGACTCAAGAAAGTCCCTTGGAAATAAATGGAAGTCCATAGAAGTTCTTTGAAGTTAGTGAGAAGTCTTGAAAGTCAGGAGGAAGTCCATACAAGTCATGATGAAGTCAATGGAAGTCATACGAAGTCCATGGAAGTCAGGGTGAAGTCCATGGAAGTCATGATGAAGTATATAGAAGTCATGTGAAGTCTAGTAAGATTTCCTAAAAGTGCGCATGCGCCTCGGTCATCAGGTGACTAAAATTATGTGGTGCCATGGGCGTACGCAGAAAATTATTATTTAAGTATATTATATATACATACACTAAGGAAAAAACAAATATAGAAGGGAGAACAATAATTTAAACAAAATTAACCTTATTTTAATAGTATATCTTTATCAAAGAAGAGGATATATATTTATTCAACTATAAATAATTACTCCTAATAGTTATTGTATAACTCTACCTAACATAAATTTTTGTAGGTACCTTTTATTTAATTTATTTTGCTTTAATACGAAAAGAATTGTTAACATTTAAAAAAAAATAACAAATATATCAATTTCCAAAGTCTAAAGGTACAGAACAGAACAACTTTAAAGTGAAACACAATCGATATACAGGGTGTCAACTTAAAATCTTGCCACCCATAATATGCAGGATGTTTGCAAAAGGTATTTACAAAAACATACCACATAGGTCCCTTTACACTACAGGTCATTAAGAAATAAGCCAAGCTTAAAATGACATTAACAATGTCATTTTAACGCTTAGTTTTTAATTACTAGTGGTGCAAATGGCTCTTATTTCTTGAACCAAAATAAGCCGATTTAAGTAAACTTACCTCAGTACAAAGATCGTTTCTTCTTTATAATTTTAAAACGGCTCATTCGATTCTGCTTAAATTTATTATGTTGACAGTTTTATTTGACAAAAAAATGTATCAAAATAATTATTCACTAATATTAATCCTTTGGCGTAGAACTTGAATTTTTTTATTACTCGCACATTTAAAATTTAATAATTTAGAGTGTAGATTTTAGAGAAAAATTTATTTACTAAAACGCGAATACAAATAAGAAATATGTATAGCGACCAAACTGAGCAACTTTGTACTGAGTTAAATTTACTTAAATCGGCTTATTTTGGTCCAAGGAATCTGTAGTATGTTTTTGTAAAAACCTTTAATAGACACCCTGTATATTCCTTCCAGTAAATAGTATGAAAAATCGGAAAGACATGGTAATCTTATTTTCAAAGGGGACACTTTTAATGAATATTTTTAGCCTTCATGGTTTAAACCCCTAGAAATTATAAAATGCTGTACCTACTTTAATAAAAAATTAGTAAGGATAAATACTACCTTTATTTTAGCTAAAAAAGTGTAAGTGACCTCTTCTTAGATGAACCCTCTGAGTGTAAACCCTTAGTTGTGATAATAAGAAATCTAGCGGTTCTGTTAATTTCACATCCTCATCTACGTAGACGTGGACTTTGTAATATACCCTTCCACATAACTTAATATCTTTTAGACTTTAGGGTCTATGATGGTTTAAGCCTTGAATTATCAAACTGATTAAATAAAACAGAATTAAACGAAACAATCCTTTAGTTATTTATATTGTTCTGCTGAAAGTTTGTGGAAGTCACTGGAAGTAATCCTGAAGTCAAGTGAAGTCATCTGGAAGTCAGTTGAAGTCATCTGGAAGTCAGGTTAGTCAGTGGAAGTCATTTGGAAGTCATTGGAGTCATGTTTAAATTAGAGGAAGTCATCTGGAAGTCCAAGAACATCCATAGAAGTCCGTAGATGTCCACGGAAAGTAAGTAGAAGGCATGGAAGTTTGGAAGTCCGGTGTACAAAATTTTGGTAGCGGTTTACCCCTCGCTCCAAATTTTTTGGAGGATTTAAAAGTTTTGTATCATTTGATTTAATAGTAAAACAGAAGATAACATTTTTAGAGGGGCATTTTTACCCCTATTTTTTAATTTTATCTTTTCAGAAAAATTAAATAAGAAAAAGAAATGTCCATAGTTTTTGCTACAAAAAAAGGTATTCTTGTTCAAACGCGATAGAATGAAGAATAATATTATTTGACTTTTAAAATGTATTTGCAGACTAGATAATTTGTTAACGTAGGTACCATGATAACATTAATGCAAAATCTCAAGTTTAATCATAAACGAATTTTATACATAAAAACTTAATAATTAAACTATAATATAAAACTACAAAAAATGTCCTCCATTTTGTTCAATACAGGTTTGGTCCTCGTCTCAGAGAAAACATAATTCGGTTTAAGAGGAAAATTTACATTACAAACTGAAAGACCTGCGGGGCAACGGTAGTTTACTAGGTATAAAAATTAGAACTTAAGGGTGGAGCCTAAATACTACAAAATTACTTCCGAGACTAAACAAAATCCGCACTCATTCATAATTTTAACAATTGCATGTAGATACGAGGGATACGTGATACGTATTCTAAACTCTAACACTCGAAGTTAAGACAAAGGAACCGAAAAATCCTACCATGGCTGCCGACGTTCATCAGTTCTTGAGTGAGTCAGAGTTACCTAAATTAGGGAAACCAGAATCGTATTTGTTTTTCTTGGTGCATTGCGAGATATTGTTATAACGCAGTTCGATTTTTTAGAGGGTTTTACATTATTTTTATATTTTAATTTAGTGAATAGTTAGATTAAATTACATTTAGGAGTATAGAGTTGTGAAATATAAATACAAATAACGAAAAAATAGACGATTGGTTCGAATAAGGTAATATCAATTAATACAGGGTATTTATTAATTGAGTGCCGATACTTAAGGGTGTGAATCCTTTGGGTGTTAAAGTTTTAAGAAAAACAAAAGCTATTTTATCATAAGTTTTTTATCACTCTAGATATTTTAATGAAATTTTGCCCAAAAAAAAGTGTTTCCACTCATGATGGGTTCCTACCAAATTTCAACAAAATATCAAAAGCAGTTTCAATAAACTGGTTTTTATTTTCTTACCCGAAAAGGGTGCGTCGTACGAAAGTACGTCTAAAAACCAAATTTGCTACAAAATAAATAAGGATTTTAAAGATAATTTTGGTTTTTAGAAAAAGCAGTGACTACCATATTTTTGTTAAAAAATATTCAGTTCAAACCCGGTACGGACGTCACTGGTAAAAATTTAAAAGTCTTTTACGACAAAAGGCGGGATTGAAAATGAAAGTTTAGTCTGTTGGTACATAATATACTATATTTATATATCTAATTTTTATTATTACACTGAATGTAACATGGCTTTTTTGTTAAAACGACGCATCAAATCAAATCGGACAAGGTGGTAAAGAATTATCGCTAAACATACATAAAAAATGAAAAGCTTGAGGATTTTCTCATGGACCCAATTATTAGATTTTAATCAAATTTATATGGGACCATCCCGGAAGTACCCCCTTTCCAGCAAAAAAGAATCCTTTAAATCGGACATTGTGTTAAAGAATTATTGCTGAGCATACATAAAAAAATATGTACAGACGAATTTAGAACCTCCTCCTTTTTGAAGTAGGTTAAAAAGGATATAATAATCTATATTAATTGTATTAACTAAAAAACTACTATGTGGAGTTATATGCAGGGTGGGTCACTTAAAAGTTCCACCCCCCCTTATTCTCGTTATTCATTGAGATATCGGAATAATTTTTTTTTGTTTGGAAGAGTGGAACAAATACTTTCTTATGTGACGTCACGGCTTACTTCCGGTTTTTCCGGAAATAACAGAAAATCGACATTTATTTATTATTTTTAAATTCACATTTTTTATTGTAAATTTGAATTTCTGGGACATTTTTGTATAATAATCGTGTATTTAAAATTTTCTGGCAGCTGTCAAAATGGCCGCCATATTGGATAATATTTTTTCTAAACAAGTTACTATTAATTCGTTTATAGAAAAAATATAGGGATGTGTCTTTCATCTTTGAATCTTTAAATTCCTATTGAGGGCCATTTACCGTATACCAGTGGCGTATCAAAGCATCTTCATTAATAGCAAACCGTTTAATAATTCCATCCACTTTTATCTTCGTTGTTAATTGAGATATCGGAATGAAAATTTTTTTCTTTAAAAGCTAATAACAAGTACTTTCATATACTTAATCCAATCGGTCTGTGACGTCATGACTTACTTCCGATTTTTCCGGATACAACTGAAAATCGCAATTTATTTTTTATTTTAAAATCGAAACCCGTTTTTTATTAAAAATTCGAATTTTTGGGACATTTTTGGATAACAAGCATGTATTAAAATATTTTGTAAGCTGTCAAAATAACCGCCATATTGGATACTATTGTTTTTAAACATGTTACTATTAATTCGTTTATAGAAAAAAATATGGGATTGTATGATCTTTATAAAATCATTCAAAATTCCTATTAAGACCCACTTATAGTACACCAGTAGCATATCTAAGCATTTTCATTATTAGCAAACCGTTTTAATAATTCCTCCTTAAAACAATCACTATCATTTACTGGAATTAATTGGTCGGTTACATCATGGCTTACTACCAGTTTTTTTGAAATAACAGAAAAAAAATTTCAATTTTTAAATAGAAACCCCCTTTTTTATTGAAAATTTGGGTTTCAGGGACATTTATGGATAAGAACCGTGTATTATAAATTTTCTCTCAGCTGTCAAAATGACCGCAATATTGAATAATATATTTTTTAATATGTTGCTGTTAGTTCGTTTATGGAAAAAAATATGTGAATGTATAAAATCTTTGTAAGCTTCTTAGTTCCCATTGAGACCCATTTATAGTATACCGGTGGCGTATATAAGATTTCTGTTATTTCTTAAGCGTATCTGTCATCGAATTGAATTTATACGATTTCAGCGCCTGTAACCACTACATCAGTCAACTACTGATAAATCAAATAACAAAAAATAGTTATTTATACATATAATAATAAGTTTTTAAAGAGGCCTTCAAAAAAGGCCTTTACATACGAATTGCATACAATATTTTTACTACCGTACTAAGATTAGAAATGCAGAGGTTACTTTACTCATTAGTGAGTAAATTATTTTACTTTACGCACTAGCGCGTAAAGAAAATTTGAAATAAAATGTGTCATTTGTCATGTCAAAATACTAAAAATTGTGTCTTGTTTACGCAGTAGTGCCTAAAAAAATTT